TTTCTAATAGTTGCTGTATAGGTTTAAAGTGCTCATGTGGCCCACTTCACTTCTTTGGGCTTTTTTCCCCTTGACCTTGTGGCTTGTTTGGTGTCCCTCACAGATCTGGCAACAGTGGTTGCGCATTGCATTGTGGGTGCTTTTGCCCGGTAAAATATATCGGTGGTGGCCGCCATTTCAGTAATCCGGACCGTCCGCACTGAAAGTTAAGCTGAAAGTCTGCTCGGTAGGTTGGTTCATTGTGTTTAATTTGGGAATGGAACCTAATTCTTAATCAAAAAGGACATTTGTGGTAAACATGAAGTTTGTGTTAATGTTAAATATTTGTTTTATTACGTGGACATCTGGCAGGTAACTCTTCTAACTGGCCCCAGTTAGAATATAGTCCTTAAGCAGTATCCCCCCGTGCAAAAGTTGGCCAGTTCATTGAATTGATAGGTAAAGTTTGTATTTATGGTTAGTTCATTTTCGCAGGTTTGTATTTTGTTGTTTTATTAGTAGTTTTCCAACCGGGCTAACGTTAGCTTCCATTGGCACAGTGTTTTCCCCCCCAACACTGCGGTCAATACAGCTATAATAGTATCATATTGACTAATATATATTCGATAGGCTTCGTTGACATTTGAAGGTGTGTGTGTGTGTGTTATGTTGTGGTTACATTTGGATTAAATGTAGTATTGTAAAAGGCTAACGTTAGCTTCCCGTTAGCTTCCATTGGCACAGTGTTTCCCCGCTCAAACACTGCGGTAAATTCAGCTATAATAGTATCATATCGACTGATATATATGCGACAGGCTTCATTGACATTTGAAGTTGTGTGTGTTATGTTGTGGTTACATTTGGATTAAAAGTAGTATTGTAAAAGGCCACGGGCTAACGTTAGCTTCCCGTTAGCTTCCATTGGCACAGTGTTTCCCCGCTCAAACACTGCGGTAAATGCAGCTATAATAGTATCATATAGACTAATATATATCCGACAGGCTTCATTGACATTTGAAGGTGTGTGTGTTATGTTGTGGTTACATTTGGATTAAAAGTAGTATTGTTATTAACATAGCTTCAACGTGCTTTGCGCAGCACCTGTGGGAAGCTTCTGTTGTGAATTTCTATAGTGTGATCCGGTCTGGAGCCCGCCTACTGTATCCGATCTAGCTGTCTAATCTTCATGCTTTATTGACTTGAGTTTAGTTTGCCTATAGATTCTGTCTATCCTTCACCTGGCAAATTCAGTCTACTCAACATGTTGGCTTGTAACATTTGTGGCTTTAACTGTCGGTCTTCGACCGATTACCTGAAACACTGCAGATCACACAGAAATATTAGTAATGTGGTTTTTGTATGTGGCCATAAGGACTGTGGAAGGAAGCTTACCACATACAATAGCCTTGCTGTGCATATGGCACGAACACACTCAGACAGGAGCAGACAAACTTGGAACCGTAGTGTGTCTGTACAGTTGAAGTGCTCATTCAATTTTTGCAGCTCTGAATATGCAGATCTTAAAAGTCTTGTGTCTCATTTGAGTGGTCACATTCACGAGGGTCTGACTGTAATGTGTCCCTTTGATGGATGTTCTAAGACGTTTAATGTAAAGTCATCCTTTTCAGCGCATATCTCCAGATACCACAAAGGGTGGGATGTGACCAAGATAGCCCCTGTTCATATTTGTGAACTCGCAGAACGGTCTTTGCCAGGTGAAGGATCACATGTAGAGCCTGAGCCTAATATTGTTGATGCAGAACACAGTGACAATTTTGGGAGTGATCAAGAGAAAGACACCTACACAGAGAGTCTTGCTCAGTTTTACTTGGGTTTGCAGGCAAAGTATTTGGTCCCAGCCTCCACAATTACAAAGATAGCAAATGAAATGAAACTCTAAATGATATTCAACAGGAATATACCATGGATGTATTAGCTCGTGAACTTGAGCAGTATGGTGTTCCAACAGAGACATTAACATGTCTTGGGAAGAGTGCATACGAGCAGAGCCCTATGCACAAGGCATTGTATGAAAATGGTCCTTTAACTACGCAACACAGAAGACAGCAATATTACAAGGCACACTATAACTATGTTCAGCCTGTTGAAGTCAATCTTGGGCACAATAAAAAAGGTCAGAAGAGGCACTATCATTACATTCCAATACTGGAAACCCTCAGGAGCAATTCTGAAACAGGGAGGTGCAGCTCAGCACAGTTCTAATCCTCATGTTGAAGATGATGTACTTAGTGATGTCACTGATGGGTGGGCCATGAAATCGAATGCCATGTTTTCCTCAGATCCAGAGTCGTTAAAGGTGATGCTATTTCAGGATGCATTTGAGGGTGGCTAATCCACTTGGATCTGCCAAGCAAAAGCACAAGGTATTAGCTGTCTACTTCACTTTGGCAAATTTCCATCCACACCAGCGATCAACTGTTGATCAAATACAGTTGGCACTACTCTGTATAGAGAAAGATTGCAAAGATTTTACAGTGGATACGATTTTCAGTAAGCTTGTGTCAGACTTATGTGAGCTTGAGGAAAAGGGCATATCTTTTGAAGGAAAGATCTATAAAGGTACTGTTGCATGCATAATGGGAGATAATCTGGGCTCTCACACGATTGGTGGGTTTACAGAAAATTTCAGCTCAGCTGAATATATATGTAGATACTGTTTAGCGACAAGAAATGAATTTCATTCTAACCCGCTCACGGTTTTCACTCATCGAAATCCCGCTGATTATAATGAGTCTGTGCAGTTACTGGAAAGTAACCCTGAAATGAAAACGCATCACGGTATTAAAGGTGACAGTGTTTTCAACAAACTGTCTCACTTTCACGTGTGTCAGCCTGGACTGCCGCCCTGTCTTGCACATGACCTGTTTGAGGGTGTGGTTGACTATGATTTAGCAATGTGTTTGCAGTTCTTAATCAAAACAGAAAAGTGGTTCAGTTATGAGGTCCTTAATGCCAGACTCAAATCATTTCCTGGTGAAAGCAGCAACAAGTTAAACGCTATTCCCATTAAAGGAGCAAAGCTTGGAGGCCATGCAGCCCAAAACAGGTGGCTTTTGAGATTCTTGCCTATTTTAGTGCATGACCGTATTAAAGATGCTGATAATGCAGTATGGCAACTGGTACTTCTTCTGAGGGAGCTAGTTGAATTTGTCTGTGCACCTCGCCTTTCAGAGTCGCAGATTGCTTATATGAAGGATCTGATCAAACTGTATGTGGAATCGAGGCAAGAGTTATTCCCACGAGTTAAACTTAGACCGAAACACCACTATCTGCTTCACTATGCTCACTTGAGTTTACAGTTTGGCCCACTCATACATACTTGGACGATGTGCTTTGAATCGAAACATTCTTATTTTAAAAGGTGTATTAGGGCAAGTAAAAACTTCAGAAATGTAACTAAGTCACTTGCTGATAGACATCAGTTGTTTCAGGCCTATCAGTCTTGCGGTAGTTTATTTAGCCCCCAGGTTCAAGTTTCAGACTCCACCAGGTTCTATCCTGAGCTCTATGACCAAAGCATAAGGACAGCAGTTGAAGAATTTGGACTTGACTCGAGTAACTCAGTTGTCACAGAGAAGGTCCAGGTTAAAGGCACGCCATATGGAAATGGTATGCTTGTCTTACTGAGATATACTAAAGGACAACTACAGTTAGGACAAATAGCGAGCATTATCATAAAAAATGAAATGAGTGTCTTACTTTTGCTTCGGGGGAAAACTGCCAGCTGGGTTCCTGAGCTTGGAGTCTATGAAGTTGATGAAAATATGTCTCATATGTTCAGCTGCCAAAATCTGGACAAACTTAATGATTATTATCCACTGTCTTCTTACCAGAGAGGTGCAAGGTTGCTCATTCCTCTTAAACACATGCCAACATGGAGCTTGTGAAAGAGTTGGTTAAGAAAGCCATACCATCGCTCAGTAGTGATAAGATGGATGCACTCATGGCTAGACTGGTGGAATTAGGGGTTCAATGTGAAGATGACCTGATCCTTGTGGAGGCCCCGGACATTCAGGACACTCTGCCACTCATTCAGTGCAGAAAGACTCGTAAAGCTTTCCAAGGAGGTACGTTTTTTTTTATTTTGTAACCCTAATCTGCACTGTACTGAGGGGTGGACAACACCGACAAAATCAAATATCACTATTATGTATTTATGACTATGTTATGTTAACAGTTGCGTAAGTTCAGTTCATTCTTCAAATCAGGAAAACACAACAGGTATCACAATATGATACCCAAAATCCTATTCAATAATCTCATGATATATCAATATATTGCCCAACCCTGTATACTGTCTGTATACAAATTCACAGACCCTTAAGGGTCCATTTGTACCCCTGGTGGTCTCCAACGGACATTGAAAACCAGTGTATTAATTAATTAGTATCATTGGTGATGTGGTTAATTTATGGGTATGTCATCCATAGATTCACAAGCTGCACCACAGTTCAGAAGCCCTGGCCCTACATCTACACCTCTGCCACAGAGTGATGATCTGCCCCCAACACCACCTGCCCATAACCCATCTTGCCCACTCCCCATCCTGTGAGCCATATTCCATACCATGGCACAAAATGCCCTCAAAGCTCATGGATGTGTTGGGTGAAAAGAAATGGGTAAAGTCGAAAGAAAGACTACAGATGGTTCGGATCGTTGTTGATGATTACCTCCATAAACACCCTGGAAGACCTGGTAGATCCAAGCTGATGGAAATCGCCAAGAACATTGTAGGACAATATCCTCTGTCTTTCAAACAGACAGAGCCCTTTGGAAATATGCCGTTTGCAAAAGATGGTTGTGGTCCTCTCTTTACCCAGCTAGAAAACAGAGTTGAAAATATTAAGAGAACATCAACCCCAGGAAAGAGGCGAGCAGAGGGTGGAGAGGGTGAAGTTCAGCGGAAGAAAAAGTCAAGAAATTCCGATCGTTATGGATGTGTGGAGTGGGATGTTGCTGTCGAGGGAACTGAGAGTAGAGCAGAACTGCTGTCAAAACAAAATGAATTGAAAAGTGCCTTCAAAACCCATGATCCTCAGGTAGGGCTGCAACATCCATTATGTTCTTGTGTATGTATGGATTACTTTTTGATTGAGTAATGAGAAGCTAATATTTGAGTTTGATTTATTTTTTGGTATATCAATTCAAATTGGTTTTGTATAATTAACAAAAAATAAACTGATCGACAAGTTCACAATAGGACTCGTTGTGCGCTTGTATATCAGCTATTTTTCACCCGAAATCGATTTATCTGTATTTATATTGATAATTCGTTTTATTATTGATTGAATTTATTGGTTTGATTAACTGTTGCCTCATATCTTTAGGAGTCATCTGTTCGAAAACTGATGGCTGAAACATATCCCATCCAGCGTGAAACCATCAACGATGGAACCAATGTAAAGGTCCTAAAGGAAGAGTGGCCATTTCTATTTGAAGCTGCTCACCTGTTTGATCATGCATCTAGACTCCTTGGCTTTTCGGTACAAAACAAGCTGGCACAGGAGCTTTCCAAAAAAGAACCGGGCATCAACAACTTCCTTGACACCAAAGGGATGAAGATGGGTGAAGGTCCAGTACAGCTGATCTGTGGCATTGTGAGATACTTCAAGGAAAACCCTGATCACCTTTTCTGCAAAAATGAGGTACATTTTATGGATTTTAAACCCCACTTTGCGCTGCTAATAATATATCGAAATTGGTAAACCATCTCTCCTGGAAAACGAAGATAAAAGGAAATCAGTAAAATCCTTGATTATTTCCCAACCAGGAGAGAATCCCTCATATAATTATACACTTCCATCCCCGGCAGAGCTCCTCTGTCTTGGAGGACCAAATGCTGTCCCCTAATAGAACAAGGTCTTGTAAGGATAGACTTTCCCCCCCTGACCGAAAAGGATTCTGATTCTAACATTAATCGATTATGTTTGTGTAAATAATAATTTTTTATAACTACTATTAACATTATTGTCTATGGTTAGCCGCTACCTCTGATACAGACACTGGCAGATGGTCTATTTGCCTGCCTGACTGTGTGTTTGTGTACATTGGAAAAATAAAATCATCACATTCATGTGTATCTTTTAGTGCTGGGGGGAAACGATTATTTTGAAAACGATTAATCGGGCGATTATTTGATCGATTAGTCGACTAATCTAACGATTATTTTTCTGTTGTTCAATTCATAAAAAACGTAATGTAAAAAAAAACGTAATGTAAAAAAAAAATGTTTCACGATACTGTGTCTCAGGGGATCTTAATATTTAAGAACCTATTAATGTGTTATACCAGATTAACGGAAATAATCTCAGCTAACTGACGATACAAACCATGTTTACCAAAACAAAACACAAGTCTCATAAGAAGCATCTAAATGACTCCTGAGCGAAAAATGCTAACGGACATTGGCACAGAACTCAAGATAAAAGTACCCTTATTACTTATCGTAGCTGCACATACAAGATATCCGATTAAAGCTGAGACTCCACAGATTATGTAGGTATATAGTATCATCACTGAGTGATCCGGACTCGCGACAGGGGAAGCAAATACAGTCATCACAACACGTACCTTCACAGAGCTTCTAGGGAGATCGTCTCACCACCGTAGCTGTCAATCTGATCAAAAGACGTGTTCAATGGCATTAAAATGAGAAAAAAAACGCGGCTGAATCGGTTAATCCATAGGTTTTTAACGTCCATGTATAAAAAAATTATTGAATTTATAATCCATAATTCCATTTTATGTAAAAATCGGAGAGCAAATGCTAGCTGCTAATGGTAGCCACCACAGCTAGCTGCTGCTTCTGCTAGGCTTATGCAGCAGTCTCAGTGAGATATAAATATATAAATATCTTTGCGTTTTGGACTAACTTTAAAATATTCCCATGCTTTTGAAGACCTAGGGCGAGATGTTTCGTTTGGGGGCTTCGTGCGCAATCCTGTGAGGAGGAGGTGGTAGCCGTTTCAGTCCTCATTGTGTTTGAAGTGCGATTGCGAACTGCTTGTTGCTTTGGGTGACCCACTGTGTGTGTGGTAGCGACGCGTTCGACGCGGAAATATGTCGTCGACGATATTTTGAAGTCGACGCGTCGCTACAGCACTAGTATCTTTGTTGTTTTATTTTCCAAAAATAGGACTCCGCGGATGCTGAACTCAGCCTCCCCTGTACCCCATGCATCCTAATCAGAGGTTTGTAGTTGAATCATTTTTTCCATCCGAGCAAGCTTGGATATATGTTCTCCATTTGTTCTTAGGTTTACTGATGAGACGATTTGTTGTGATGAAAAGGTATAGAGTTGGTTGATTTTGTTTTGTAAATGGTGCTCAGATACTATGTTGATTAGGGCCAAAATCTTTAAATGTAAGCACACTTGTATGTAAAGTCTGACAAACTAAATGCAGAATACCTGTTCAAAGTATTTGTTGCTTGTTCCTTACCATAACCTGTGTTTGGACCTGAGTATGGAAGATTTGGCGCATGTGTACGTTGTTATATTTTTTTTAAATGACTAATACATATTGTTTTTGTGATCTATGTTTAAGGTGACCAATCTATTCAAGATTGCTGTTGATTCAGGAAGTTGTGAATGACCACATCACCTCCCCCATTGTGGCCCTGAGCTATGCTTTCTGCTTGTTTTTATGTCTGCAACATTGAATATCCAAAGGAGATGTCTCTACCCTGGAATTCATGCAAAGGTAAGCAGCTCATTGTTTTGAAATGTATAAGCTGGGGTATTCAAATTCTGAGACTGAGGGCTTCCCACCAGACAAAAGCATGTAAAAAGGTATCCACTCATCTTCCCTTAGATTACTAGCATAGTTGTGCTCAATTCCAGGTTGCGTATAGGATCATGATTATTAAATATAATATATATGATATGTTTTGATCCCATTGACACTCTACAATCGAGCCAAGATAGCCATTGCTCTTTGACAAGGGTCTTCAATGTTGTTCAGTCCAAGGACCCCTTAGCTGAGAGAGATGAACCAGGGACCCAAATACTGCCTAAAATTGTATTGCAGATTCAAATTGTTCATAGAGTTCATAGACCTGTTTGACAGCACAATCACCAGTGTTGTGTAAAGTTTGTTTGCTTACACATTATCTTTTCTATTGTTTGTTTCATGTTAATGTGTATTATCAAACATATAATCACTTAAACCCTCAATAGTTAATAAATGTTCCTATAACACAGGCAGCACATTTTGCAGCTTCCTGTTGAAGGCCCATGCTCTTTCATATAACTTCAGACTACACCAAGTACATAAAAAAGGTCTGTCCTAAGGCATTTATTAGGCTCTGACACTGGGTGATTGGGAAAACATGTACAATATTCCTAACAACTATCTCTGAGCTATCTCTTTAACCAAAGACACACATTTAGGCTATTCTATGTGAGCTGCTTTTGTGACTAATATAACAAAATCCATACCAGGATTCATGCCCCAATGTTAATACTTGTTGTGTAAACGTGTACATTTGCACCGAGGTGTCACAGTTACCACTCCACATTTGACGCCTGTGCTCTTGTTTGCAGATGAGCTTAGTGGTTGTGTCACACTTAAGATTGACTGAAATCTGACAAGTAGACTGCAATATTGAAAGTAGCTAATTTAGATGCAGTTTTAATGCAGTGGTTGTATGTGTGAAATCAAAATTGAGCAACTATGTTGTCTATTTTGTGACTAAAATGTATATAGACTGTGTACAATCATAATCGATGCAAATAAATCAACCCTCTTTACCTTGGCTGCCTGTAAAGCTGCTGCAATGAAATCTGGACCTCCGTCTTTGTGCACTGGATCACAACTCGCCTATGGGGATTATGTGGATTGGTCTGCATTATGAGAATACAAACAAACATGATCCACCTATAACCACTATGTAGCCAATAACCAAAACCATTGTGGATTTAGTAACTCTTCCTGTCAAATTTTCACCTGTGCATTTAACAAACTATAACACTGCATACTGTCACCTCTAAATTGTATATGCATGTTTAACAAACACACAACTCCACGATAAATGCAGCAAATACCATGACATGTTACATATAAAATATAGAGGCTGCTACAGTAGGCTGCTGTAGGCTATGTCACAGTGGTGATTATGACAGGAAAAGTCACTAAATGCACTATATAGCCTAGTTTGTCAGCACAAAATAATAGTTTTGTTAATTCATATTGTAAAGGTGCATAATGTTTGTATTCTCAAATGCAAACCTATTACCACCACCGAGGAGTGGTGATCCAGAACGGGTTCAGAGGGACCAGACAGAGGTCCCACTGTCATTGAAACAATCTTCACGGACAGGACTGTTTACAACAGACTCGCCGGCCATTTTTGACGGCTCATGTAAATTATATATTTTTTTGTCACAAAATAGACCATGCCGTTGCTCATTGTTCATTAATTTTAGACATACATTTCAGATTAAAACTTTGTCATCAATCGTCACAACTTCTTTCAGCACTCGTGACTACTAGCGACTACTACTAGCTGTGCTACTCATGCACTGAGTTAACGGTGCCCTGAGATCGTTCAGTGCACGTACAGTATATCCACACAAGTCACAGGTGCACGGGTTATGCTGACATTTCCAGTATAGTATGTTGGTGATGAGCAGACTTTAACAGCACGTTGTCTGAGTTGCTCAGCTTACAGGAGCAAAGTGTTATTGTAGTAGTAGTATTTTGCAACATTAGCTGTAGATGGACACACACACACGGGCATGGTGGAGAAAACAAATGTATGCTATTTTAGACGGCTCCACTCCTGTAGAGCCACACTACAAGTAGTATATGAGCTTTGTCTGCATGTTACTCTTTAGTTCAGTTTCATTCATTTAGTTGCATGTGTAGCTAAACATATTTCTGTTTCCTTAGAGTTTTCTTTGGAGTGAATCCTGACCGAGGGTCCAAGGCTGAGATGAAGGGGAAGAAACAGCACCACATTCCTCCAAAACTGTCGAAGCTCGTGACTGAGCTGAAGGAATTTGACTGGCACATGTGAGCGTTCCCCAAAGCTCAAAACAGAACTTTTTGGACTGGACTTTTGGACTGAACATACCAACACACACTTAAAAAAAAAAAAGTTTACTTTTTATTTATTTGTCACTGCATGTTCTATGCACTTTATGGCACTCAGGTAGCGAGGGGTAACATTATTGCCCACCACCACAGATTTTTGGGTTCAAATCCCCCATGTTCGGGGGGAGGGAAGTTGGGAGGGTGATATTTGTCATTGCATGTTCTCCTACAGGTTGGGGCAACGCCTATCAGCGGGGAGTGTTGAGTGGGAGGTGTAGGACGGAGTTGCTACATCCTCCTGGATGGGGCTCCTCCTTCCTCACTGACAGGTGAGCCAGTAGGGTGCAACAGCAGTGGCAAACAGTGGGAGGAATTTATAAATACTAATTTGATCTTGAGGCGCACATGTACACACAGCCCGACCTCTACATCATGGTGTTAAGAAAAGGTTATTGTTGCTGTTATTTTACATACTTGAATGTATGGTCATGTTAGGGTTTTACAATTTAATGGAAATGAATGCACTTTTATGGAAAAAAAATAAATACATTTTGTTCAATTTCTATATATTGTGCTTTATTCAGTTTGCTTGAAAGTGTAATGATTGTTATTTATTACGGATTAAGATATTAGGATTGACGGAAGTGTCTGTAAATAGTACATACTAAGGACTGTTAAAATACGGAATTATCCGTATTAGGATTAACAGAAGTGTCCGTATATGGTACAGACAAAGTCTTGTAAATCTACAGAAATATCCGTTAAAGGGTTCACGGAAGTGTCTGTAGAATAACGGACAATGTCCTGGCAGCAAATTACCAGCACTTTGTCCGTTGTTCAACGGTTTTTTTTTTTACAGTGTACAACCCGTTGCTGCAGATACACGCTTTACAACATCAGGAAGATACGTCCCCAGCTGACACAGAAAGCGACTCAGGTTCTGGTCCAGGCTCTCGTCATCTCACGCCTAGACTACTGCAACTCCCTCCTGGCTGGTCTACCTGCATGTGCCATCCGACCTCTGCAGCTCACCAAGAATGCAGCGGCTCGTCTGGTCTTCAACCTTCCTACATTTTCCCACACCACTCCTCCGCTCCCTTCACTGGCTTCCGGTAACTGCTAGAATCCACTTCAAGACACTGGTACTTGCTTACCATGCTGCGAATGGATCTGGCCCTTCGTACATCCAGGACATGGTTAAACCGTACACTCCAGCGCGTGCACTACGCTCTGCATCAGCCAAACGACTCGCTGCACCCTCGCTGCGAGGGGGACCCAAGTTCCCATCGGCAAAAACACGTGGGTTTGCTGTCCTGGCTCCAGGATTGTGGAATGAGCTCCGCATTGACATCAGGACGGCAGATAGCTTGCACATCTTCCGGCGCAAACTGAAAACTCATCTCTTTCGACTCCACTTCGAGCGATAGAACTATTAACGAAGCACTTTTATACTAATAAAGGACTGGCTTATCTAAAGCCAGTTGAGTAGCACTTGAAATGTTTGGCTCTATGAAACCTGATGTACTTATATGATTCTGTTTTCTTCAAGGTTGTGTCTTCCTGGTCGAATGTACTTATTGTAAGTCGCTTTGGATAAAAGCGTCAGCTAAATGCAATGTAATGTAATGTAAATGCTACAGTATTCAGCAAACAGAACTGCAGAGCTGCAAACATTGCAAACAGACTAAGTTCTACAACACCCAGTTGTCTTTGTGTATTTTGTGAATGAAATGGTTAAATCCTGTAATTGAACAAATGGGGAAATTGGGCAACGCCCTCTAGCAATTTGGCAACACCCCCAGCCACTGGGATCCGCTGGGCTTTTGACTGGGACACACCCATGTGAGTGATCTGAAGTGCTACATCTGTACATCCACGAGTTTGCGCCGTTAGGCAAATGTGAAGATGAATGTTACTTTGACATTGACCAGAAAAGTAAAAAAAATGAAATGTGTAGCACAGGAGTCCTGTGTTACTTTCAAATGTGTACGCCAGATACATATAGAATGAAATTGCGTTAACAGTAAATATTCATGTAAATGTCTGCATTCAATGTCTAATACGCATATTCACATCTTGGGTTAACTCAAAAAATACATATAAAGAAAGGACTTTTGTTAACTGCTGTTGCCTAATTGTACACATGATACTTTAATGT